TTTATCATTATGTGAGATTATTAATCACAAAGAATTAATCAATCGAAAGAAGACAGACAAAATTCTGCTCMCAGGTTCCCAGGCTATGAAGACATGGAATAAATTTGAAAGTTAGTTACAAGGGAATATGTCTGGTCAGACATATCGACCTCTGGAGGTTAAGCTAATTTGCTGTAATGGAACACAGTAGAAAGTATCCTTCARTGTCTGAAATTGTACAGCTTTGTTCTTTTTTCTTTTACCCTGGAAATTAGCAAAGCTAACATGTGATATGTGCACAGAGCTAAAATGAAGAATTACATAATTACCTCCTGTACAGCAATAATGTTACAGTTAATATATTTTCCAAATAAACAAAGAGGATAAAAAAGATCAAAAAGTAAGAAAAACTGGAATAAAAATGTGTGAACTCTAAATAACTCTTATGCTCTTGAACATCAAATGTTTTATACTCCCTAGGTTTCTATTTCCTGTTTGAAGAGAATTTCTGTTGTTTTTATGAGTCAAGATAATTTACTGCTCCAAATCACTATCCAAGCCTGCAAAGATCTAATTAAACAAAGCTGTTTATTATTTGTAAACAGTTATCAAATAATTCCTCAAAGTTTGTAATGCATTAAAAGGCAGATAATGAAATTATGCATAATTTTTTTCCTGCTAAAACTTTTTATCTCCTCAGAWTTTTAGAGTGTTTTTATAACCCAGCTTGAAGTGAAATTGAATTATATAAAATGACTGATTGTCAAGGACATCTGAACAAATGAGGTATTCATTTTATTCAGAATCCATTGAAGGATTTCTTGATGTTTTTATTTAATTTGCTTCATATCAAGGAACTAAGCTCCCCTTTGAGACACATCACAGAAGAAATAAAAGATTAATAAAATCCCAGTAATTTCTTACAATCTTGCAGAGTTTGACAGAATGCCTTCATATTATTCTGTTTCTTTCTCATAGATAAATAGAGACCAATGTTGTCTTTGGAATGTTTTTTTTATCACAAGCTGTTTAGTCCCCTGGGCACAGGTACTGTATATACATTAAAATCTGAGAATSATGATAAATAAATCAATTAGAGTATTTTGGAGCTCATGATACATAGGTTTGGAGAATGTAGACTATACAAACTGTTTTATTTATATAGAGTAGAACCATTGGTAAAAGTTGTTTAAAACCACAAATTCTTCCTGTGGTTTCTAAGAAATGTGCTGACTGATTAAGGTAATGCCAGTTGTGATGCCAACTGTAGGAACTCAGAGGGATGTATGATTTTTAACCCTAAGTGAATATTTGAAAAGTTCAAAGTAATTCAAGTAATTTTATAACAAAAAAACAAACAAACAACAACAAAAAAAACCACCAAAAAAACCAAACTTTAAAAGCCATATTCAAAATCATACAATACAACTCAGCAAACAGAGTCAGATATATTTTCAGGTAATTCAATGTTTGTTTTAATGACATTAATTTCTCAGTTCCCTCTTGGAGCATATTCTCAGCTGTTCCTTTCTTCAGATATTACTTTAATTTTCTTTAACTAYTGAACACTACTTTTCTGCAGCTATTCTGCATCTTGGAACATAATGAATTTTAAAAAAAAATTCATATTTTAAAAAGTTTAAAGGTTTATATTTGTCAATGGGCAAGGCAATATTGACTCARGCCATTTCCATCAAAATGAAAAAGTACAGTACAATTAATGGATTTTTTTAAATTGTAATCCCAGATAGTTTTTAAAAGGCCTATATTATTGCATTCTATGGAGGAGGTAAAACAAGGCAGATGTCCCAAATAACACAACTGAGTAACCAAGATTTTCCTTAATAATTTTTTTGAASGCAGGTTTATGGAGACTGCAAGACTGGGTAGAAAGTTTAGGTCTCTTCACTGAAAAATTTTCTCAGCCCTACAGGAAAGTAAGTAGTTTACTAAGAAATATTAAAGAATTCCATGACAATAAAGGAGCATTTCAAAAATCCCAACAAATTAAAATTAAGGCATGGAAGCCTAGCAGAAATTCATGCATGTGAAAAAATGAGTCAAGAAACTGGGAAATTGCGGAGGAGCTGTTCATCTATGTGCAAATACTTCCCCAGCACTCCAGCACAGTTCAGAAGACTGGATTATCACAGTGGTGTGACAACCAGCCGTGAAACACAAATTTGCTGGAGGCTGGTATTTACTACCCACTTGACATTTAAACAAATCTGCAGTTTTCCTTCAAAGATTTTGTTTCTCAGTGCAGTGATGTTGACTGCTGCCTTTATCCTTATTTACTCTCTCAATTTCTTACAGTGTATTGGGTGCCTACATACTGTCMGTGCAAGATGGACAATTAATCTGCTGAATTTCTGAACAAGATGGAACCAAATAAAAGCACAAAGAAATATCATCAAGAATAAATAGAGTAAAATATGAATAATAAATATGACAATAAAAATCCTTTTTTTTAAGAGTTCAGTTGGATTAAAAAAGCAGTCGAAGCTTGGGGGTTTTAATTTAAAAAAAAATTATTTTGTAAAAAAATCAAGTTTATTATGTTAATTCAGTAAAATTAAACACCTGTAATTCAATAATTAACATGGTACTAAACAAGCAAAAGAAAATAGGAAGTGATATATGCAGATTTTTTTGCTTCAGAAGCTACATGTTATGCAGAGGAAATTTAAATTTGCTAGAACGAATAGACATTAATTTAATTCTTAATTCCAATTAATTCTAATTGGTGAAAATATTTTTAATTTAATCTGTTAAACTGTTAAATCTGTTAAGCATCCATGTTTAAATCCAGATTTTGTAATGCATCTGTAGCACAGGATTAGTATTAGCTCTAGAAAAAGCTATAAGGGTGACAAAAGAAAAAAAGTTTTTAAACTCAAAAGTTTTTCTCTCTTTGATTTATGTAGATAAGAATTYACATAKGCTGAATTGCTGTGAAGAACTAAAAAGCGTAATTGAATGTGGAACATCTTGGGAAGAAGGAAAATATAGGCCATTTCCCTTCTCCTGTTGAGATGTGGCAGAATAGATTCATGCCCATCTCTCCCACACCCTCCTTTCAGGCAATTGTAGAGCGTGATGAGCTCTCCCCTGAGCCTCCTTCTCTCCAGGCTAAACATCCCAGCTYCCTCAGCCAYTCCTCACAGGATGTGTTTTCTAGACCTCTACCAGCTTGATTGTCCTTCTCTGGACTCACTCCAGCCCCTCAATGTCCTTTTCTTAAGTGAGTGACCCAGAACTGGACACACACTGGAGATGTGGCCTCACCAGTGCTGAGTAGAGCAGGACAATAAGTCACTGCCCTGACCACACCATGGCTGATCCAGGCCAGGATGCCATYGGCCTTCTTGGCCACCTGGGCACACCGTGGATCATGTTGCCCAGCACCCTCAAGTCCTTTTCTGCTGGGCAGCTTTCCCATCACTCTGCTCCCAGCCTCTAAGGCTGCCTGGAGTTGTTGTGACTCAGGTGTAGAATGCAGCATTGGCTCTTGTTGAACATTATGCAGCTGCCTTCAGCCCATTGATCCAACCTGTCCACATCTCTCCACAGAGCCTTTCTGCCCTTGAGCAGGATCAACACTTCCACCCAACTTGGTGTCACCTGCAAACCGATTGAGGGTGTGCTCAATCCCCTCATATAAATCATTAAATAGGATCATCCCAGTGCAGAGCCCTGAGGAACTGAATTAGTGACCAGCCACAAACTCGATGTAGCCCCATTCCCCATCACTCTTTGGGCTTGACCATCCAGACAGTTTTTCACCCAGTGAAATGCGCACCTGTTCAAGACACAAGCAGCTAGTTTGTCCAGGAGAATGCCGTGGCAGATGGTGCCAAAGGTTTTACTGAAGTCTAGGGAGACAACACCCACACCCTTCCCCTTATCTGCCAAATGGGTCACCTTGGCATGGAAGGAGATCAGGTTGCTCAAGCAGAACTTGCCTTTCCTAAACCCACGCTGTCTTTGCCTGACCCCCTGCTTGTCCTGTACATGCTGTGTGACAGCACTCAGGATGATCTGTCTGCTCCATGACCTCCCCTGATCCCTAGGTTTGTCTGACGGGCCTGTGGTTCCCTGGATTATCCTTCTGACCCTTCTTATAGATGGAACTCATATTTGTTATTTTCCAATTAACTGGAATTTTCCTGGATAACCAGGATTGTTGGTAAATAACTCAGAGTGGCTTGGTGAGCTCTTTTACTACCTTCCTCATTACTGTCGGGTCCATCAAGGCCTATAGACTTGTGTGTGTCTAACTGGGGTAGCAGGTTATTAACTATTCCCTCTTGGATTATGGGGGTCTCACTCAATTATGGGGGGTCCCCATCATTAAATTCCAGTTCTGGGAGTTGAGTATCTGGGGTACAGCTGGTATTTTGGTGTTAGGGGTTGAGGTAAAGGAGGCACTCAGCATCTCAGCCTTTCTGTCATCCTCCAACATTATGTTACATTCTGCGCCCAGTAAAGGGTGGAGCTCTCCTTTTGCTGCCAGTGTATTTAGGGAAATTTTTGTGCTGTCTTTAACCACTTTGGCCAAATACATGAATGATCTCCTGGCATCCAACAACTGGCCTGTATGCCCCACATGGCATTTGCCAGTCCCCTGTGGATGTCTCAGGTGCCTGGGAGTGTCATTGTGGCAGTGGCCTCGTGGGCTGAGGCAGCTGAACTGAGCCCTAAGGAAACAGGCACTGCCTGTAAAGGGGATGTTCTTCTCCCTTTCAATGACAGAACATCAGAATAACAAGGTGGAGGAACTGTTCTAAACAAAATACATCACAAGTTGTCAGTTGGCACCTCAGCCTTCGCAGATCTAAATATTCTCACAATGTCTAGATGTTTTAAAAGAAACTGCCTCTGTGAATAATTTTCCTTTGCCAGTTGCTACAGTAAATGCATGCATATATTGGAAAACTATAAAATCCTGGTTCTTAAATTAATKAGAGTATGTTTGCTTCAGTGTTTTTGCTTTCATGCACAAATGCTGCCTTTCTTACCATCGTTTCTCAGTGTCAGAGGTGTAGGAGGACTTAAAACTCTGGCGTTTGTCACTGTGTTTTTCACTAAGCAGATATAGCTGCCAACATCGGAACTTTGCACCTTGGAAATGTAGAGATTGCCGGTCTCCTGAGAGATGAAGCGTCTGCTGTCTTCTGCCACAAAAGATGGGAATTCATTAAATACCCAGCTGTAGATGATCTCTAAATGAACACAGAAAGAAAAGAAGAAAAAGTAATTTCAGAAACAATACTGTGTCATGTTAATAGATTCTCTAAATAAATGTTCATTCACTTTATTTCAATAATCTGTGGGGAAAAAGTTCAAGATTTTTGAAACTTTGCTTTGTTTAGAATTGAAGAGATTATTCTATTTCTCTCCTTGGGATTTTGAAAATAAACGTTGAATTTACAAGTTCCTTGTGAAGACAGATTTATTTCAGGAAAAATAATTAAATTATTCATCAGACTGAGAATACAGCAAARTGATATTGGATAATTCTCTTTTCTAATCTTTCAGGGCAAACAAATAATAATATCTAAAGCATTATTTTCTCTACCTGTTCAGATTTGCAGTGAAATATAYCAAGATGATTCCTACAGAGCTATGAATGACTTCTGCAAGTGTGTGTATAGATAGGTTTTATTCCGAATGCCTGTTTTTAAAATCACTAGATTCTAATAACAGTTAAACCTACCTTGTAGGTAATATTACTGCCTATCTTTTACATCTGGTTCAATGAAGAATTCCTTAACCCTTCTTTATGTAGCTGAAATCCCTATGATCAATGAATAATTCCTTAAACCAAAGCTATGAGAAAATCAGTGACTTTATAAAAAGCTATTAAATCCAGTCCCTTGGTTCTTATTTTTATCCTATGAATCATCTGTTCTATTTACCTGAAAATTGTGTACTTTTGCCTAAATACTAATAAAAACAAAAAAAAAAAAAAAAAAAAAAAAAAAAAAAAAAAAAAAAAAAAAAAAAAAAAAAAAAAAAAAAAAAAAAAAACCCCAACAAAACCAAACCTGTTATTTCCTGTTATTCTCTATGAGATTATATCATGATCTAATAAAAACCTAGGTTCATTTATCTCTCAACATCAGAAGTAACAGTAAAGTTAATGAGATTCTGATTTAGCAGGATATTCCTTGCAGGGAATTATTCATGTGGAGTTCCACCAATTTAGACTTTAAAGCCTTAACCCTATGTATACTCCTTTATACATTGTCCTCCCTTTGAACTCATTTTCCATTGTTTCATTCTTACTTAAAAATATATGGYTCATGATTTAAACACACATTGACTGCAAGGTTATTGTTTCTGTAACCTCCCCCTGGATAGTCTTCAAAAACCTGGCCTCAAGATGAGAAAAGCCAAAGCTAGTCCAGGAATGTAAAATCCCCACTACTGCTCTAAGATGCAAACTGTTCCGTTAGTAATAACAATTTCCAAGTTTTTAGGCTGAAATTGCTTCTGTGACTACTCTCAGCTTTAGCAGCAAGAGGAAGATGGTAATTTCAATTAAGTCAGTCTAGTTCTCTCATACTTTCATCCCCATGACAGTCAAAATGTTTTCTTGATATAAAGTTAGTTGGAAGATAACAGGGTCAAAGGGGTGAGACRAAACGCCTCAAAATTTAAATTTTGCTGTGTGCTTTTCTTCTAATGATAGGAGAGGAACTGGTACAGCTGTTGTTGGCACAAAAAGTGTGAAACACATTAGATCCTAGACAGGTGTGCATTTTGACTAACAAAGTACAGAAAGCATTAGAAATTCCAACTGATACATCCTTTCTATCCTTAGGTTGTTCCCTGACATGGTGGTGAGAAAGGAATAGGAAAGCACAATGACTGCTTTTCCTACCAAGATAATCAAACAGTGCATGCAGTGCCATAAAGATGCAGTATATCTTCTGAATCAATTTTAAAGAAGTTTACTCTGGTTTTGAAATCAGATGAAAATTTTCTCCTAAAAAAAACCTGATGCATCAATATAAAAATGTTGTGTTAAAGGACTGAACACACTTAGCTAACAGGAGGGGAAGACTGCCACAGAACAGGGAATTAAACTACACACATTGACTTTTTGCTTAAAATATTTTATAAATTTATTAGTAATTCTGAGTGGCTACAAAGGACTCTAAGGAATTAAGGGCTCTCAGAGACATCTCTGAGTGTTCAAATTTTCCTTCCTCTTCTGTTATGTTTCAGGCAAAATACTAATTAGCCAGAAATATATCTCTGAAAATTTTATTACCACATTTTGCCATAATGTCTTATCTGGCAAAAAAAGATTTATGGCAGTATAAAATACTACAAAATGATGGTGAATACACAACTTCAAGAAAAATGCATAGGATGTAACTGAAGACCTGTTAACAATTCAAATGGAAAGTAATCAGGCTCACTAATTACTCTGGTTTAAAAGTAGTTCAAACCAAATGCAAAACAGTCATCAGTGTGGGTTCATTGGCAGTTCACATAGAAGAGAATTTTCTCCATTTGTAGCCTAAAACCACTTACAATTAATTATTCATTTATTAATTAGAATTAATACTAAGGAATAGATTTCAGGCAATAAATTTTTGTTCCTCTAAGGAAATAAAATACTTAGACTTTGCCGGTGCTGAATCCAGGGGGATACTGTCATTTTGTCACCTTCTTAATTATTTTTGCTGTTAAAAATGGAGTGATGGATGAATGCATACTGGGATAGGGTATTGAGAAAAAAAAAGTAACAGAACTCCTACAAAATATAAAGCTCAAAACATTTATGGTATAAAGCTTTTTTTTTTTTTTTTTTTTTTTTTTTTTTTTTTTTTTTTTTTTTTTTTTTTTTTTTTTTTTTTTTGTGCACACCTACAAAATCTATATTCTAGCCGGGAATTCAATCTCCAAAGTCCAGAAAAAAGTGTTAGTGGTTTACTTTTTGAACATTGTCAGCCCATTGACATTGAAAGAATTGCTCCTATTTTTCATTTCTAAAAAGCAAAACCCCAGGAATATACTTWAAACTACCTGAAGACTTGGCATCTGAATGCTCAGATCTTCAACTGACYTGGAATTCTTGATCTCTTTTGCAGGTGAAAATCCCCTTAGAGTCTATGATTTTTTTTTTTCTCCTGTTAGACCTGGTTAATGAGTTCAGCAGATTCTTAAATAAAATTCTGAGGGTCATGTCCATACACCATGCATAGGCTTTGGTGGAAATATCTCAGGAAAATATTGCAGACCAGTCAGAAACAACCACAGCTGGCTTGGGATCTGGGGACCCCACAGTTTTCAACTGACAGAAAGAGATGGATGATTTTGCAGAAGTGATTTTACGAAAGGGGGTTCACAGAATGACTTGCAATTAGGGGAAAATGGGTGTACCTTGACATTGATCTATTGTGCAAATACCTCTCACTTCTAAATTTGCAGCCATAGTAGAGGATGAAACATACATTGCTGTTCACAATCTGTGACWCTGACTGTTCCTACTTTTCTGTATGCCAGCAAAATTACAAGTTGGAGTTGGGAAAAACTAGAATTGCTGGCAAAGGCTGGCCAAGTGTAAAATCTGGGGGTTTGTTTTGTTTTCTTTTGATGTTTTGTTTTTCTACTGGCATTATCATGCRTAAGAGAATATCCAAATGATTGCAAAGACAGGAAAAATAACTAATAAAAAGGCATTTAGGGAGAATCAACATTTAAAACATCGCTGTCTCTCTGTAGACAAATCTGTCATCTATAGTACACGCACAGTAAAATATTCTGAAACAACAGTGGATGAAGTCACATGTCACAAGCCCCACAGGACATCAGCACAGGAGCACATGTAAACTGCAAGAAGAGAGGCCTTTAAATATTATCTGAAATGCTACCCTTGGATTTAATGGTAAAATGCTGAGTGAGCTTTCAGAATTTCTGAACAAGAAGCCGAGAACCAAATGGGTGACACCAGGTTTATTTGTACATAGTTCACTGCAGTTTTTACTGAACTTCAGGCCTGAATTTTCCTACAGTGGTTTATGTTAAAAGATTTTAGAATCACTGTTATTTGGTAAAGCACGAATACAACTGTCAATGCATTTTCAATAGGATATTGAACTCCAGACACATCTCAAGACTGACAGATAAATAATTATGACCTTCAATAGATTTTGAAGGTAAWAGTCAGTGCTACCAAAATCTAAATAAACCAAACCAGAACTGTAAAATGAGAAAGTAACTTATTTAGATATGGACCTCCTGAAGTAATCTACCTTTGAGAAAAGACTGAGTAAATGTTTTTTTTTTCCCATGCTGTGTACAATTTGCTTTCAATAGGGAAAAAAGGATTTAAGACAAAAGAGCAAACAAAATACTGCAGTATACAAGAGTTTAAAGTTTTTTCCAAGAATATATGCTAAGTTTATTTTTTATTTTTATGCACATCTATTTTATTTTGAATGTGACATCAATGACAAAGCACAAAGAGGATGCAGAGCCTTTCCTGGAAATCACAGTTAACTGCCAACACAATATAAAGTCTTCCACAGATAATTTGCATCAACACAAACAGAAAAAGAGAGTAAAGATGGAGGAATTATGTAATATAGAACAGTTGAAAATTGACATTTGTCTTGTGGGCTGAAGGACACTTCTGCTGCTAAATCCTCTTATATATTAAGTCTTGGTGTAAAAATGATACGAGCCATTCTGGTAACTGCAAAACTGATAGTTCCTTTTATGAATGATCAGCCTTGTTTACATAAGAATGTCTCAAAGGAAATTTTTATCTTTTTTCTCAAGATGATTTGGAAAACTTTCTTAATGTCCAATTTGTTTCTGTGTTTTACTAAGCACTTTTTAGTAAGCTATGTAGGTGAAAATCTGGGTCACTTGGTGATGAAGTAATAAGGGGAGTTCATCTATTTTCTGCCTAAATGGATTTATAGTGTGAAACCTTGCTTGCTATAATTTCTTAAATGATTTTTGTAGTTCTATTTTCTCTGTTAAACAAAATTAATTCCTAAACTGTCACAATGYGATGTACTTCCCATAATGGATGAAGCCAGAATACTGACATATCAGCATTTTTCTTAGTGCTGGTCCATGATATTGGAGATATTCTGGTGCACAAAATGTCAGTACTATGGTAATACAAAAGTCTTTCTGTCACTGTGGGTCAGTATGAAATAGTGCCTGAAGCATTGTAAAGAGAGCTCCGCTGAAG